CCTCCAGCGGGCTCCCCCCGCCGGTAGAGCGGCCTCGGCCCGGTTCCCCTGGAGCCCGCGACCTCCGAGAGGTGTCACCCGGCCGGGAGCTTTGTACCTTCTGCCCTACAGCCCGTCTGCGCCGCGATCTGTTCTAATGAAGAGACCGTACCCGGAACCCCACTACGCGCTGTAACTCGCTGTTACTTCAGTGGAGTGCTCCATCCACTGTCGGCAGCCTTTGAACGAGAGAAAACTGCTCACAGATAAGCACTGAGCATCCACATATTGTCGTGCGTTTTCCTTGCTGTTACACAGAGCATTAAAACTCTCAACTTACCTATAAAACATCCTCCTGCAACTTAATGATTGTCAAGATTCTAAGCACATGGTATACAAATCCCAGCATACTCTTTTCCCTCTAGACAAAGACACCCTTAGAGGTGCAATTCTTATTTCTAGGATAGGTGATTGAAGCCTAGGACAGAGTAAGGAAATGCTACCGTGTCAGTAAGGTTACCAATGTCAGCTTCTAATTAAGTTTGTTAATAAAACACACACACGCACACAGGGACAGTGTAGCTATCAGGCTTCTTGTAGCTATTTCCAAAGCCGTTAAACAAGGAAAATCCATACCATTTGCTGACAAGCAGTTCCTGCTCTCTTACATATCCTGAAGATAAAAAGAAAACTCCAGGTTTCTGTGAGACCCTATTTCTTACCTCCTTTTCCCACTCTCCTTTGTATGAGCTTGCCAAGACTTTTCTTACAAGCTCCATGAGAGTGGTAGAAGCACAGTGCCATCATTTGTGGAGAGATGCTTGGGTGCAAAGCATCTCGTCCTGTGTGACCTGAGCCCTCCAGGCAGCCCTGATATCCAGACACTGAAGGAACAGGCAGGACTGATCACTCCCTGCCGCAGAAATCCAAGCCCCTTTCTGCTGTAGTTTGGCCCTGAGCTCAACTCTTCCCTCACTTGGATCAGCTTCTGGAGCCCTAGATCACACTCTGCACTTGAGTGACAAAGCCTGGGCTGTTCCCTTAAAAGATAGCTTATTCTGTCTTGTCTTCCACGTTTAGTAAAAAGAGTGGTTCATAATGGAAATGCACACTGTTAGTCCGGTCTGCCTGGCTGATCCAGACACAGGCCATATTTTGAAGGGACAATAGCTGGAAATCTGAAATGCAGAAATAGATGTGAATGCTCTTCTAATTATTTAACAGCTAGAGCTTGACCCAAAGATGCCAAAATTACAAACTTCAAGTATGAATATGACAATGGGGGTGGTGGTGTGTACACATAAAAATCCAACCCCTACTAAAGACTAAAGCACCGAGAGCAACCCCACAGCCCCAGCCCCTGCGCTGGGGTGCTGCTTGGAGCCCTACCCAGCTTCCCTGGGGAATCCAGGGGCCTTGGCCTGCTGTGCCTGCAAACCAACACTGCTGCAGATGCTGCAAGGCCTGCAAAAGCACTTGGCACCTTGCTGCAGGTGCCACACTATTTCTGATAGTGCTTTTAAATTTACAGGAAGGAAAGTCAATTTAAACATGGCTTTATAACACAGCTAAGCTGTATCTCCTTTACCAAGCACAAAAAAATTCAGTACCTACATCAACAGCTAAGAGCACTCTGTAAGTAAGAGCACACCATCTTTCCCTAATTTCGATAGAACCGTTTTATGGTTACAGTTTTATTGTTATAGCAGCATATAAAATTTTCTCCCCCCATCTGCCTTTGATTTGCATTGCTTAGCTGATACACTCAGCCACGTCTTTGCTTTGCCTCTGAAGCTGTGGGATGGTAAGTACTGTGGGAAGAAGGAATTTACTCTAGTCCCACTCAGCTCTCCCAAGTTGACCTGCATGGCACAGACTGTTACATTTTCTGTCATGCCAAGCAGAAACAATGTCATCATCACCAACATCCAAGGCAAGGAGGTGGCTATGATGACCTACAATCAAGCCCAGGAGGCGGCACTGGTAACAGAAGTTAAGCTTTCAAAGCCTGGCCCAGCTCTATTCTACCTCCAGCTCAGAGATATGCATGTCTGGAGCCTCTTGCAAATGAAGCCTCCTGTGCATTAGGGCTAACTCAGCAAGGACAAAACATGAAGTCAGGCTCCTGTGGAGCAGAAACAATTTTGTTTCCTTTCTTTGAAGAAAGGCTTGTGCAGTAAAGTCAAGATTGAAATAAATAGCCAAAACTTGCTTATTCCAGTCAGAATGAACTTTTCCATGAAAGGCTCCCTTCCTACTGCTCAGTAAGCCACCCATACAGTGTCAAATGGATTAAGAGAGCTGTAGTAAAAATCATCAACTTATAGACATGGAAACCCCAAAATTACCGAAGTACATTAACGGATCTTGGAAAGCTGCACCATTTTCTTCTGAAGCCAGTACCAGAGTTCAGGAGTCACAACTGAGAACCCAGCCACCTCCATCCTGTACAGGCTCAATGCCAGCATTTCTCAGTTCCCAAGGTCACTTAATTTACCAGTAACTACAAACAAAGCTGCACAGAAATACATATTGAAGACTTCAGAATGATCTCATTACTGCAAGAGCTTAAATATGCCATTATTCTATGGCAGGCCATATTTCTCTGCAGTCTAAAAACTTATCACAACAATGTTCATGTTTAATGACTAGAAACAATACTGAAAGTAGGAAATGTTACTTTTCAGACCTTAACTAAAAAGATTAGCTCTGAATATTTAACACCTTAAGCATCAGACAAGTTTCCAAAAGCTAACTGGCTGGGGAGCAATGCAGCTATGTAACAGAAAATCTGGAAAAAAGGTGACCCAAAAAAGCCACCTACTTAGGATATACGGTTTCCAACAGTTCAAAATGCCATCAAACTGTTACACACAGCATAACTAGCTGGATCTTTTCTTCATGACTGATGAAAGCAAGTTTTGGGGAATGTTTCCAGAACTCCTTCAGCTAGCTCAGACTCCTCACCTACAGTGAGACTAGCATACTCTGTAAAAGGAGAGTGGTGCAGGCTTTCAAAAATGAAAATTACTTTTATTTTTCACTTTGATATCCATAAGACTACAACTGCTCAACAAGGTAAACATAACAGTTATACAAAACATATGTAATTATTTACAGACTTAACTGTACAAAATAATTTAAAGCTTACAAAAGTTTCATGCAACCTCTGCTGACTGACTGACACAGTCTAGGAAATCTCCTTGAAGAAGCATAGAAGATCTTTGAATTTATTTATTTAATGGATCAAAAAATGGATGCTGCAAGGCTTCATCAAGAGTAATTCTTTTGGCTGGATCATATTCCAGCATTCTGCGAACAAGGTCAAACAGACTTTGATGATCCGTGTCTTGGCAATGCATGAATTCCTGAAAGAAACAAGCAGGAGGTATTTTAGCGAGAGCTTTCACAACTGCAGTCTAACAGCAATAAAAATGCTGTCTCCTACCTTCAGAGGCTTACAGCGTCTCCTGACATACCGGCCTGCAGAGCTGTGCTCATCCCAGTCTAACTGGTCATGGTGAAAATAATGTTTTCTGCAGGACAAGGAAATAACAGTAAGTTGGTGTCAGTGCACACAGCAAGCAGATGCTTTTCCAAGAAGTTTAAAAACACCATTAAGTGTTCCTGCATGTCTCTCTGCATTTGAGAGCTAACATTTCTTTAAGTGAATATTTATTCACAGAGATCTGCTGCTTTTTTATTTCAGCTGCCACAATCGTTAGAAAAAAAGCTTTTTTTTTTTTTTAGTATTACTTGAATCTATTGCAATTGCTGCTTTCCAAGCTTTTTCCTGTTTTTCAAAATGCACTATAATCAACTGGACAACTGTAACAAACCATATACACTATCCAACCCAGAATTATTGCAATTCTACTCTAACATGAATTACAGAATTATCTACATGAACTGGCAAGAAGACAGCTTATGTAAGAAAGAAAACAGACAATCAAATCCCAGGACCTCTAAATCTTGGACATAGAGGGGTCAGGGGAGAACCCTGTGCTGGCTGCTTGTCCTTGCCATGGAAGTGAGAAACTTCTGTTGCATGGAGTTATCTTTGAGGAAGAGAGAAAGATCACTGAAGCATAGGTCTGAAGGATATGGAGGGGCAATAGAAGAGGATGACAGCTATATATGCAAGCAAGGGCCCTCTTCTTCCTCACAGTAATTATTGTGATGACATGGTCTCTATTCTCAGAGTTAAAGAAAAATTGATGTCCAATATTGTTCTGGTGACCATACCAAAGTTAGCTTTGAATCTTTGAATCCCTGTTGATCTGCAGCAATTCATAGCTTACAATGGCAACTTTGCAATTTCTCTTGTAAGAGAAAATATTAGGCAACTTACCACTTCTACAATGAACATACCTGGATTTCTTGATCATGTGAGTG